TTTTTAGCAGGCCTGGGCCGGCTTCGAACCCACCAGCCCGGGAACATGTAGCCATCGCCCTAACCACTGAGCTACTGGCACCCTCCAACTTCATAACTTTTCTTTTTCCTTACTTATAAGTTTAAGGCATCAACTTCATAACTTTTAACGATGTCTCACTTATTGTCTAATTTTCCTACAGTCTATAAACTCAAGGTAATGACCACGCCCATTAGGTTGTGACCTAGCCCCCAGAGCCCGCGCGCAGTACCAGTTGAACTAATGAATAAGGAATCTGGCAGAACTCCGCTGGCACACAGACTAAAGTCAGGGGCGCGGCCTCCTGAGAGGCGGAGTCTCCCTCCTGAGAGGCGGAGTCTCTCTGCGGGACCGGAAGCTAGGGCGGGGCTTCCCGGAGAGGGGTTGTGAACGTGCCTGCGGAGGGGCCACCCGGGCAGCGATTTCGCGGGCTGAGTAGGGCCCTATTTTTTTTCCCTCTTCCCCAGGACTTCCTCCCCCCCGGGTCCTGGCTCACCCGAAGGCACCTCTCCCCACCACTCGGATCCGCTCGTACTTCTCCATCTTATTTCCGAGTTTCGTTTCTGGAATTTCTCCCCCCCCGTGCGGCGCCTGCGCGGCCCTGCCCACTCTTGAGCCTTGCCCCTTAGGCGGCCAGATACTTGAGGGGCGGAGCAAGCCTAGGTAGGTGTGAGTGTAGCCTCGCGTCTTTGTGGATTTAAATTGTGCTGGCAGCTAGGGCGTCCAATCATTTTCCTCTGAAGACCACGCCAGATACAGCTTTTAAGGAAAAGGGCAAAAAAAAGTACCACGCGCCCACAGTGACGAGCGCAGTTCCGACTCCTTCCCACCCATGGATCCAGCCCTTGCTAGACTCGATAGACGGGAGGGATGCCCGCTCCCGAGAGGAGTTGCTCTCCGTGGGCCGGTGAGGGTGGGAAGTAAGGATCACCCCGCACCCTTGCCCATTGGTGACGCTATTTCAGAAGGAGAAAGCGGATTTTCAATTGGCATGCAAATTATAAACGACCAAAACTGAACCGCTCTCGGTCAGTAGAGTAAGGCGCAGGGTTAGTTTCATGTTTGCCTAGGGAGAGACCGGGGAAACCCCGAGTTGTGCAATTTGATTCACCTGGGGAGGAAATGACACGGTATCCAGGCTGTCCCAACTAGTGAGTACCAGGTTCGTCAGCACTCCCGCCTACCTTAGGGTAATCTAGGGGAGAACTTCCGTGGAGGAAGGTGAGAGGGAAGTGAGCTACTATCCCTAAACTTCAGGGAGAGTATCCCGGCGCCGTGGCTTATTCCTGTAATCCTAGTACTTTGGGGAGCCCAAGACAATGGATCGCTTGAGCTCAGGAGTTGGAGACCAACCTGAGCAGGAGCTAGACCCCATCTCTACTAAAAATAGAAAAATTAGCCAGGCATTGTGGCTGGCGCCTGTAGTCCCAGCTATTCGGGAGGCTGAGGCAAGATTTTAAGCCCAAGAGTTTGCGGTTGCTGTGAGCTATGATGCCGTAGCACTACCCAGGGCGACAGAGTGAGACTGTCTCAAAAAAAGGGAGGGGGGAAGCATCAAGGAGAGAAGGAAAGACCCTGTTTGGCTGAGATGGTCAAGTCTATTGTCCAGAGGCAGGAGGCTGGTTAGTCTTGACTACAAGTGGGTTTAATCCAGGCTTTCCCTGGAGCCTCTTGCTCTGCTAAAAGCACTGTAAAAGCTCAGTATTAAGGAGAAGGAAAATGATCGTTAACTAACGATCCCTATTTCAGAGTATCCCTATTTCAGAGTTGAAAGGGCGCCCAAAGTCTGCCCTGGGGAATGACCACAGGAAGAGCCCCTGGTTGCTGGCTCAGTGTCTGCTGGCAAAGCTGCCCTATGAGCAACCGAGAGGGGGAGGAGGAAGCAGCTAACCAGGAATGCTCTCACCTAGAAACCAATTAGATCTTGGTTGACTTTAGAGCCCCACCCGGATGTTGTGGGACCAAGGAATCCATCTGCCCATCACCCAAGCCTATCAATGGAGCAGATGAGAGATCAATAGTTTCACTTTGGGGGCTGGGCACTGTGGCTCACACCTGTAATCCTAACACTCTGGGAAGTCGAGGAGGGTGGATTACCTGAGCTCACGGGTTGCAGACCAGCCTGAGCTAGAGACCTTTGTCTCTAAAAATAGCCATGCAGAGTCCTGTAGTTACAGCTACTTAGGAGGCTGAGGCAATAGAATCGCATGAG